AAGAAGAAGAAGAAAGAAAGAAAGAGGAAGGTGGATTATTTCTCCGTTAACAAGCACCAGCTGCATTTCATAACTCGGTTAAAAGAAGATGCAACACAACACGACGACGCAAATTCTAATGGCAATATGTATTATACAAGTCGGCATAGCAACGACAATTCTTCTGCCCAAACGTGATACATTACACAAATCATCGGGCCTTATAATGAAATATTTATCGGAATATAAACCAGCAAACGACGTAACATCCATTTCAATAGCAATTCCCATGGTGAGCGACATGTGCTATATAATACCATTGAAGCCATGAAAAAAATTCCTCAATGCAACATAAAAACAAGTCAAGAAAAAAATGAACGTGGGACAAAAACAAATGTTATACAACAGCAAGAAAGAAAAAATCATACAATACAGCCACGAAATAAACGATTCATCATGGACATTATTTCAATTGCCATTGGAACAGTTTCAACGGCATTATCAGCCGGCAACATAATACAAATGAATAACCTACAGAAGGAAGTAAAAGCGGACAGATCATCGATCCGCACACTACAAAACTCAATGAACGGCCACAACATTCAACTCTTTCAACTGACCAAAGGTCAAGTTAAAATTATAGAAGAACTACATCACACACAGGCCGCTTTGAACAACACCATTGTTTTGGTAAATGAACATTCAAATGTACTGCAACAACATAACATAGCGATTCAAACAATAATGTCAATGATGAGGCTCCTCAGAAAGGAGTTAACAGCTGTGACTCACGCAGTGGAAACTCACTTCATCCACGAGGCCATCGAAGACATCTTCGCCAATAAACTTAATCTAAGATTTATACATCACTACGACTTACCACGAGTTATACAAATCATTACAGAACAAATCCATATAAACATGGCAGAAACGGACGAGACACTTCCAATATTCGAATTGATTAATCGATTATTAATACAACAACGAATTGAATTCATTCCAAGCAGCATCAATGAATCAACAGAACGAACTGTGATCGGTCACTTGTTATTTACATCATTTTTTGCATCATCAAACAAGGACCAACAATCATTCTCAACATACGAACTCATCCCAATACCGTTTAACCAAGGAAACCAGAGATTAAAACTCGCACAAATGCCACATATTGTTAGCATCTCAGCCAAAACATTAGAACTAATTCGATGGACAAAAGAAGAAAGCAGTGCATGTCAATTTAAATTGCTATTGTCGTGCCGTGAAACTCCAGCAATCCATAAGAATTGGCAGAAGACATGCTTATTCGAGATAGTTACGGATTCAAACTTGACGTTATGTCGCATCGAACCCGAACTGGAACCAATATTTATACGACGAATTGGCCAACAATGGGCAATATCGACAATAAATGAAACAAAGTGTCACCGTGTCCCACAATTAGAACACGAACAACATGCCATAACAACGAACAACGAAATAACCATTCCTCCAATCTCATTGATCACCATCGATAAATCAACAACATGGAGCTGTGATCATTTTCTTTTACCAAGTATAACAAATGGCACGGATAAACGGATTACAATCATTGATGACAGGAAATTGAATTACGATGACTCGAACTTAATCAATCTACACCAAACAATGAACAATAACACACGATGGGAAAAAATCCCGTACATTCCGGGAGATATAAAGAATATGATCGAATATATAATAACAACAACAACAACAGCACCAACACCGATACAATCAACAATATCATTCTATCAACATGGATTGTCAATAGCAATAGGTATATTGGGTGTAACAACTATCACCTCAATAGTTCTATACCTGAAGCTACGAGACAAAGTGAGCAAGACAGCAACAACCAAAATAATTACGATGCCACCAATATGAACAACTTTTAAATTAGTTTCAACAACAGCAACTCCTGAGAAGAAAACGTCGATCACCGAGACTTGTAAATATATAACCGAGCTAGGCTCGAAGATAGTCATGTATATAAAGTGTGAATAAATTGCATGTAAAAAAAAAAAAAAAAAAAGAAGTTATTATTACTAGTGTGCTGCCCCACTGGTTACTGCCGTATTCATATTGTCTACCTCTTCTACATTTTTGTTTTGTATGTTCTGGTGTTTATCATATCCCTTGGATGTTCTCTTTGTTCTTTTTTTCTGTATTTTTCGTTTTCGTTCGTTGTGTCTGTGTGTGTAGACTTAAACAGCGCCACGAAGAAGACCCTCGTTAAACCAATTGCTTCCTTATATATCCCTCGAACAGACGCCCAGGAGTGCGTCTTGGCAAAATGGGGGGGTGTGCCGAGATAGGCACTTGTTCTATCTCAGTGAACAACTGTGTACA